AGTCTGATTTATGTCAAAGATAGTGTTTTTAGTTCAGACTAGTCGATCGAAGGAGTTTTGACTTGAGTACCATATTTAAACGAAGGACATAGTCGCTATCGGACGCCGTTATTCGTCACCATATGATGGATTGTCGCACAGGCTGATCTGTTACACCTGGGGACCGGGGTCTGGTCACAACTTATGATGAACTATAAAAAGACGTTCGACAGATTCGATCGATGTCCTTTGCATGTTTCCTTTGAGAATAGGCTCTCTTCAAATGTGACTTTCCGCTTATTTTTTAAAATACAAACTGAAGCCCAATTCTTCCGGCCTCTCAAAATCCGATTTCGACGAAGAACCCCTCAGATCGCCATAGTTAGCCAACAGCCGCATTGCACTCAAGCAGAATCGTTTGGCTTGCGCCCAGAACCGGTATTCGAGACCGAATCGCTGCATCCTCTCTCTAGGCAGAAACAGTGCCTTAACTTAATTTGTCAGCGTTTGATAAACCCCTGAAGAGCTTTGATATGGGGACGTGGGCCTGTGCTAGCCGAATGCGTAAGGTCAGCCGTGGGGGTATTTTTCATTCCACATTTTCGTAATTGATCTGGTAATTATCCTCTAAATCTCACACCGTTCACTAGTTGCCCTTCAGACATGGTCGTTCTGCAGATGAAAGTGACCAGGTAGGGTCTTTGCGACAGTGCTCCTCATACGCCCCGAGAACGGACTGGGATGGAATGCTTCCCCTTTGGTCACAGAAACACGCAAGTGCGCCTCTTTTGCATTTACATTTCATTAGGCGCATCTAGAAGTCTCAGACTGCATTCCTCGACATAATTGTCCTCAGCAGGCGATCTTAATTATTCTTGAGGTCGAGTTGGTCATTTTGTTTGTCCTCGGCGCCTGTGCGGTCGCGTCTGGGCGGTACAAGGCCCATCAGTACAAGAGCAAATGGGCTTGCTTGACTGCATTGAGATCTTGGCAAGGGAACTATTACTCATTTGTCCCACTTAGCTAACGAGCGGTGCGCGCCTAATGCCATGGGAGGGTCCTGGATTAAACGTGGAACACGTCAGTGTCTCACGATCCGAACCGGTTCGAGTAAGCTGGGGAGACCTGGTCAACTTCACTCACAGAAGATCTTTGGACTGATATAACATGGATGCAGCGATTTGCTGAGCGTCCGATGGCAGCATTTTGGGTCTGGGAACTTTTATCTTGGAAAGAACTACAAGGCGAATTTGTCACTTTGAAGGAAATCTTGTCGACATGAACATGTCCGATTGTAAACCCCTTCCATCCATGTAACAAGGTTTTTGTCCCATTACACTGCATTATCCTAAGCAATACCGCCACGAAGGTCTGCTCCAGTACTTTTTTGAGTCGTTAGCCCTCGTTGAGGACACACGGACGAAGATAACCATGAAGGTTTCTGTCTCGTTGGAGGCCATGTCAACTTGTTACTCGTCCTGTGATGAATCCTAAAGCAAGGCTATTGCTTTAGGCAGAGGGCCGCAACCTGTTTCCCTTTTCCTACCGTGGCCTTCGATTCAGCCGACAAGAGTGCCTTCTGGGAGATTTTGAAGGGCGACTGCATGCTGAGCCCGACTGTCTTCGACGTGCAGGGCCGGCACTCCATTTGAGAAGCGGCCACTTACGACACAGGTCGCAGTAACTCGTGACGCCAGGCACTTGAAGTCCGAGATTTCGAGCTACCATCTAAGTCGCGGCGACCGACGTACACTCTTCAGCTCTTGTCCGTTATGATATTGTTTGGGCAGATTGAGGGCCTAGCAGTTAAGACCAATTACGTCAATCTAGCCTTCCTCTAGCATATCAAACCTCTGAGGATGAATTTTGTAGCCTGATACCTAAGTCGATGTTGGTTGGGGTGGCGGCTTCCATGCCAATTTTGGCAGTGAAAATGGTCTCCTCATTGGAATCTGTTCCAGTAAAACAACCTCTACTCGGGCACAGCTCTTGAAAGTTCACGCTGGCCCTTGCATATACACTGGTTTTCCTTTTGCCAACGAAGTAAACCTTGAATAACCTTGTTGAGATCACGCAAGCAAGACCCGTTTCTCTGATCAGAAACAACCTAGGGAATGATCGAGGCCCTGCGATCCAAGGCCAATTTAACCGACCACCGAATCCCTCTGCCGCTGAATTATGCAGTTGTCCGTCCTTCGTGCAACTCAAGTACTTGATTACTAACTGTTGAATGTTGCAGCAATATTGTGGCGGAACAAGTCGTGGGAGATTCGAACTGAGTTTGCTGCTAAGTGCAACGCGGAAACCTCCACGATAGTTGAAGGAATGGGAACTCGTGCGCATTAGTTGACTGCCGAAATTTGTGACAACGGATAGAGGATAGAGTACGCTTCACGGTCTTCTCAAAAAGGCAGAGTTCTTTCCTGCAACCTCTGAGGACATGTCCATTTAATGTTCTCCTTTCAGATGGTCTCATTCTAAGAAAATTACGGACAGTAAAGTGGTTGAGGTCTTATGGTCCGCATGGGGTTCCAGGGGAGTTAACAGTAAACTTTCCACGATTTTACCTATGTTCCTTCGAAGTTAATTTGATACTATGATCCTGCCTTTTGACTAGAAGCGGTAAATAGGCACTGGCCCATAAGTTCAGTGTGCGCCCTCTGCAAGGTCATAGAGAAAATCATACGGAGCAAGTTAATGCGGTTCTTGGGATCTACAGCCTGATATTGGACAGCCTACACGGCTTTCGCAAACAAAGATCCTGCACAACCAACTTACCACGATCTACCCAGCTTTTGGATGGGGATGCGATGCGCACCATCTTCGATACTGTGGCACTAAAAACTGTGATACATATTTGAAGCAACAGGGGCCAGAGGGTCAGGCACGTAACCCAGTCGTCATATGCAATCAAGCGCGCCCTTACTCGTCTCGGCGCGCTTACAATCTCACCCTGGAGGGCTGCTAATTGACGGGACAATCCGGTCTCACTCAGGACTAACTCCTACTTAGTCATCTTTAGGCGAAGTACGAGACCCTCCCCCCTTTTGGAGCTCGTTTCATATTGCGTTTGGAACCAACTCGTCTGCGGTGCACACAGAAGTGCTATTCAATTGCTCTGGCATCCATGCCATCTCCAGTCCTCCTAACCCTATCTTGTCCCTGGATAAAGGTGAGTGTGGGAGTAGTGAGTGAAGTAGATGAGGCAAAATTCCGCCTCACTGTAAACGAGTGTGCATGCAAGTTACCCCTGCTCCCTCGGCGACACTCACCACTTGCGTCAGTCCAGAAGAAGCTAAACAGAATTGGTAGCTCTCCACCCCAAAGCCACGGGGAATAGAATGAGCAGCAGCAAGTGTTCCACCTAGGCAAGCGCTGCTCATAACTGAAAATGATGCCGGAAGGGGAACGGTTTTCTCGGTAGGCTAAGTGCGATGCAGAGATGAAGCTGTGTCGACTCCTGCATCACGATGATTATGAAGGTCAATTATTCCATCGGAGAAATGTAGCTCAGCGTCCATAGCAATGTCACAACACCAAAAACATGCAAAATGGGAGGGCATTAAAACATGTAAGCTAACTCCGCAAAGTCAGCGCGGAAGGCACGAAAAAAAGTGTAAACCTCCATGCAGTGCTGAGCCGCGGCGGCCTCGCGCCTCATACAATATTCCGAAAACCAAGGCCCGAAATTTCGATCTTCGAAACTGCCATGGGGACCACTGATGACTACGTCAAACCCGCATTGTACTGTGATCGCGCAAACGTACTGAACGGACGGTAGTCGTAAGACAACGGCGCACCACGACTGCGTCCTGGTTCGGACCTCGGAAGTGCCGGAGACATAACCCTGTTTGGGATTTCCCTCCGAAAACCCATCTTAACCTTACCAGCGTGCTTTTCTCCCCCGCAAAGCCAGCACAAGATTAAACGCTGGGGTGACGAATGGCGCAGGGCGATCGAATCCTCCGTCCGCCTCCGTTTCTTTCTGCCACTGACAAATCAACGTCAGAGGTTAAATCACAGTATATGACTTATGGACATGTAGTCGGGTCAAGAACCCAATACCTTGCTGAGAGGTGTGACGGGGTCGAAAGCGCAGCCACCCTGCTTAACGGCCGCGAAATACGACTTTTAAGGGCTACTACAGTGAGGGAGAGAGGAATCCGTCTTACTTTAAAATTGTAAGTTCAAACTTTTCAGCAAAATGGACTCCATCCACCGTGGATCAAGACTTCCGACGACTGGAGAGTGCTGCAGCTTCGAAGGCGGAACACTACCACCCACGGTGAATAGCTCCAGCCGGTGGTGCATTAAAAGGTCGCTGTGTGAAACAGTCTGAACACACTTCGCTGGCCTGGGAGAGATACCGCTCGCAACACTAGACCTCTGAACTAGTCTGCTTTGGGACAACTGCCGTATTGCCGGCCAGGTTCGATGCTCGTATGGCCCATCTCTCCTGATGGTCGTTTTTAGTCCCACCATGGTCCTCCCTACAATTTACAATCCCTTTTAATGCTCTATTATCCAAAACATGATATTATTCTTTCTTCCCTCCCCCCTCCTAGACAATGCGAGTCGGACGTTTAATCATAAGTAATTATTAATTTTCAGTAGTTAGCGACAGTATAGGTCTGAGGATGATTTGCCCAAAATGATAGTTCACCTATCTACCTTCTACCAAATCCCAAAACTGGAACAGATACAGACCCGGTAAATTTTGGGCAAGTCCAACCTGGAAAGGAAGGTGCACTCGGCGGGAGTGGTCACGTGACATGGGACGCTGAAGTTAGCTAAATCCACGTAAGAAGAACAGAGGTACCATCTACACGCAGTTTTGCGTAAAGAGAAGACCGTCCAGTCAGCAGCTCGGACAAAGCATGGTGCCTCTTGGCTAATGCGAAATGGTGGTATTTCACACGTGCTCCAAAGTGTCTGAAGATGGGAAAAAATGAAAGCTGTACAGGAATTTCATCGGTCGAATGAGCGTGGGAATAAGTTGGAGGAATGGCGGGGGGCTGGTATTAGCTTTTTTCACTCTTCTTGCCCCACGTCTTGCGTGGCTTTCCTCGAAGTGCACGCAACCTGTCCATCTCATCGCGGAAGTCTGCATGCTCATCACGGAAGAGACCCAAGCGACGGAGAGTGGCCAAGATGTTGCTAAACTCTTCCAACGGCGGGTACCAGTCCTTGATTTTGATGGCTTCCGGCTGCTCGCTCATAACTTTAATCACCTTAGCAGACTTTGGATCCAGTGGCCGGCCATAATCGACAAAAATACGATTGGCCAGGAGTGCCATGCGCTTGGTGTAGGCAGACATCCCGAGCTAGGGAAAGTGAAACTGGAAAATGAAAGAACCTACTGTAGTGTACACCAGTAAGGTTTAATCTCCTTGGAAATTAAACAAGGCAAGTTGAAACTGGAGTTCATATACCAGAAAACACACGGGAAAGCTGGGGGACCCACTGACGGGCCGAACCCCTCGCAGCTGCGTCAGGCAGCGGCATAAGACTGGCGAAACACGCGTGTCTGGGCTTTTAGCTAATACCTGTGTTGTTAGTATGGTAAATAATTGCACAGTTCTATACTACTGACTGCCTGTTGGCGGTTTGTGAATATTAAGCGGCTATTCCACAGTGGCTGGTGGATTTCAGCTCAAATATTCATATTAAACTTTGGACCGTGCCTGAAAAGGCCCGTTTCGAAAGACTTACTCAAAGTTTGCGCATTAATTTCCTCGGAAATTAAACAAGGCAACTTGCCAAAGACTCAAGAGCTGACTTTAGAACTTTTATTAATGGGGTAGATGGAGTGCCCACTAGCGTTATGGGTTGAGCTACCCTAATTTTCTAACTAGATCTTACGCAGTCAACAGAACAATGCCGACCAGCAGTATGGCTCAGCGAAAGGTCAGTAGTAGGAGAGTCAGAGGTAGCCGTAATAGCGATAGCAGATGTGGTGGTAACATTAGTGGCAGCAGCAGTATTCTTAATAATAGAAAGAAAGCTAATAAGCCTGAATGCAGGTACGCCAGTTGGATGGTCGCCAACGATGAGGCCCATCGTGTGCCCAACGACGTGGTGGGCGCAGAACGGCGATTTTATTATTCATTTTGATAGCCGACTTGTGCAGCGCCTGCCACACTCTCTCCCCCCCCCTCCACCTGGGCCTCGTAACAAGACAGGGTCAGGAAGGCCGGGAACGGACTCGGCCGACGAATTTAAACGGCCCGTCTGCGCGTACCACACACAAACTGGTTCTCAAAAAATCTACTGCCTTCATGAAGGGGGGCGGCTTAGATTCAGCCTAAGTGGGATTGCCCTAGAGGCCGCATTTCGAAGGTGCCATTAAACCTGACTCTCCGCCCTGAAACGACGGATTTACCCAGTCAGTTGGCAGCCCTCGAAGTGCCTATTCCTAGCACATCGTGACAGACTTTTTTATAATGGGGAGTGCGTTGATGATGTTGCTGCACTCTCGCTTTCTTCCCTCTCCCGTGTACCAGTCGGCTGTCCGAACCAATCAGTAATCTGATGCAGGGATTTGGCACAATGGCTGTCGCGACATGAAGCCTATGTTTGAACGTGCCATTACACTCCCCCTTAATATTCACAAACCGCCAACAGGCAGCCAGTAGTATAGCATTGTGCAATAATTTACCGTACTAACAACACAGGTATTAGCTAAAAGCCCAGACACGCGTGTTTCGCCGATCTTGTGCCGCTGCCTGACGCAGCTGCGAGGGGTTCGGCTCGTCAGTGGGTCCCCCAGCTTTCCCCGTGTGTTTTCTGGTATATGAACTCCAGTTTCAACTTGCCTTGCTTACTTTCCGAGGAAATTAATGCGCGAACTTGGAGTAACTCTTTCGAAACAGGCCTTTTCAGGCACGGTCCGAAATTTGATATGAATATTTGAGCTGAAATCCATCGGCTACTGGGGGACCCACTGACGAGCCGAACCCCTCGCAGCTGCGTCAGGCAGCGGCACAAGATCGGCGAAACACGCGTGTCTGGGCTTTTAGCTAATACCTGTGTTGTTAGTACGGTAAATTATTGCACAATGCTATGTGACTTTCTCTACACAGAAAGTATGCATCTTGTAGAATCAAATCGCTAAACGCTAGTGCAACGGCTTATCTGGCTCAAAATTATTCGGGAATTAGAAAACTCATTCAAAACCCAAACATACCCCTTTTTCGAGAAGAAATGTGGGGAAGACGTAATTTGCAACCAAATGGGTGAGAGAAGGCATATTCTTGTGCACGTTTTCCATAAAATATATTCAGATGTATAAGATCATCGAAAATCAATGTCGAAATTGCATTTTTACCGAATGCGGTTTTACAGGTCAAAAAAGTGCATTCAAAAGCCGACATCCTGGTCGCGCCGAAATATCACGAGATTACGCCGCGTCTCAATCAATACTACAACCCCACCTAAGTAAGACTTACGAAGCGGAAAGGCATTTCAGAATTGTCGCTAACATTTTATGAGACAGATCACTCGCTGTAACGTGAAGTATTTTTAGATTAACCACTTCGCCATCCGCGCGGATATAAAAGGAAGGGCTTGCAGACGGCCAGTTGTGTTTCGCTGACCAGGGCCGTGAATGGTTCATAAAAAGCAAGTACAAATACAAGTAAATTTGTGTGGCCACGTCGGCCAGGCAGGAGTACCTTGACGGACATTTTTATTCGATGTTATTGAGAATGCGGAACCTGGACCAACTAACAATGAGACTTGGTTGAAGTCATATGGCTACGTCGGGAATAACGGGTCCAACAGCGCCTCTGTGTTGACATGCTTTGAGTAGGCCCCTAAAAACGTATAGTGATTATCTTGTGTCGGCTCTAATGCTAACGATATTCGATAATCGTCTTTCTATATAACCTCAAATCCTTTCGGTGGGTCTTTGCCGCTTCTCCCGGACGCGTTCCCTTGCCACTGTTCGTATGATTTTCACGTCTACAGATGCCTCCGGAGTAATTATTTCAGTTGCACATACTATGCAGGATCGCAGTTGTGTCTGCTTGTGACGGCTTGGTAGACGATAGCTGTTGCAGTGTATGCATTAAGCCCGGATATTGATGCTAGGCAGTAGGTCTGTAAGGATGAATGACAGACAATATTTTCGTATGGTCTTCATTTTTATCCAGAGGATTGAAATGTCGCAACGGGCGAGTGTAATACTCCAAAGAGGTGAGGTCTTGAGCTTTACTCAGTAGGAATCGGCTGAGCAGAAGGTTATTCGCTTCGAAATTTCACCAAGAAAAGTGACCTGACCACATCATGCGCCTGTTTAGAGTCCAAAGAAGCGTTCAATTACCTCTCAAACAAACTGTACATGCCTATTCGATGCATTTAGAACAACTGATTTCGCATGGTTCGGGTTCGAATCGCCACGACTGACTACCTACCACTGAAGTCAGTCGAAAGCTGGCTCCCGAACCAGGGTGGGCCTGCTGGCACGTCAGTCACGCAGACCAAAGGGTCATACACGTGTACATTCCCCACTTCAGTCCTCACCACGTCCACCCAGTCTCGACGTCGTTGCTGGCTAGGACCGGCTCTAAGGGAGGCGATATCTCGAGTTATTTCGCTCTTGGGTGGGGCAGCACATAACCCAGCATCTAAATCGGCATATAAAAAGTTGTAGTTGACGGACTGAGTTCCTGAATGACTGCACATGTGTTCGTTGGAGGTGCGATCGGAAAGGCGAATTGGGATAGCCGTGTCAACACAGTCGATCGAATACCCAAGGCGGTATGCATTTTCTGATTGTATAGTCCATGTATAACACCAGTGCAAACAGATTTTGGCGAGACTAGCTTGCAGCCCGCAGTTTGGTGTTTGTGCTGGTATTACGCCGAATGCAGAGCTTTTGATGAAGTCGTACGAAGTTCGCATGCGTCTAGTTGACTTAATGGTCGAAAGCAGCATCGAAGGTCAAATCGGCTCCAAATCCGCAAGCCGGCTCTGTCAGGCTGTTGTGCGACATGTGATGCGAGCACTAGCGAAGGAAACTGTCTCGATGTTTATCTAGGGGTTTGGCTATGGTCTAAGTCGCAACTTATCGAGATTATACGACCGGCAAAGAAATATGATGTGGAAAGTTTCAGGGGTCCTGCAACTTATGACTTCGGTCTGTTTATCTCGATAGATTTCGTTGAGGATAACTGCCTCCGATGCATCTCGGGACAGAATGAATTTGAGCTGGAGCCGGAGCAAGGCCCTAAAAAATTACTACATGTGTTAGGTCTTAGTACGCTTTATCCAAAAGAACAGACCGCTGACGAAACGCACGTCATGAAACCACGAGCTCCGTACGGCATGACTGCAAAGGATTTATGCAGTGTCAGATCTCGAACAGGAATCAGCTACCGGTGATAACCAATAGCCCTTGAATTTTTCACTCATGCGTTAGAACCGGTGTTCTCCTGTTGCCGCTGTCGGCGTTATAGTTGTGGTAGTGCATGCCCCAACGCCCAATGCTGACAGCATACAGAAGGAAGTCTTCAGACAGCCGTCAGGCGTGTTCCGGTTACTGATTTCAGCTCACTGCAGACGATTTTTAATGCAGCACGAGGAAGTGTGGAGAAACTACGAGATTACTTGATCATCCCGTGGTGGGAAACCGTTTTGTGCATGGTCAAGGGCTTGTACATTTTACCGACTCGAACCTAATGGTCGGACGTAGCGGAAGACACCTAGTAGTGACTACATTTAAAATTAAATCGACTACATGCTCGACAAAGCACGTTAGGTAAGCTTGATGCTAGATTTATACGCGAAACGTCGTTCTGCCACCGGTGGTGAGAAGGGTTTCGACCGTGCTCTTTTGAAGACTCGGTATCAATTCAGACTTTTTGCTAAGAATGCACGATAAGTGGAAAGGCAGAATTTTGCGTCACTTAAGGATCCTGTAACTACTACAGGCTTTCGTCTGATCGCAGGCCTAACTCGAGTTATCAGCTGAAACTTCATTCTCGGCAGTCCTGAAAGCACACGGCGACAAAACATATTCCATCTGTTCCCAGGGCATAAGCTTCTAACGCAGACGGAAAACGACATTTATAAAAATGGATGTTGTCAGTGTGTGAAGTGGTGACTTGGGTACTATTTTGGAGTACATTGGTCAATTCGCTACACATATGATATTCCTTAACCCATAATTACAAGTTGGCCATGTACTAGAATATTCGCACAGGGTTACCAATAGTAAATCGTCTGAAGAGTCTAGTGAACAACACTCTAAGCCGGTCGAATTCATTGTCACTGAAGAAACAGGCGTCAGTGTGCAATATAGAGTTGAAACGCTATT